CTGTGTGTTTTACAAGCCCTTAAAGAGTCCCTCCACGCCCTCCCTCATGTAAGGTAGAGGTAATAGTATATCCATGGTTACTTGGGGATTATGCGACTTGATTTGTGAATTTCCTAGTACTGTGCTTGCTTTTAAATGTTGGACAGAATATTATCTGCATATACTTAAATTTTTATCTTATTTGGAATGGTAATCACAATTTCTCTTTCTAATTGAAAAAAAGTTTTAAGTTGAATTTTCAAATGTGTGTTACCTCAGAGTGTTTTAAAATAGTAGTGATACTGCATACGCACATGAAAGTACTCTTTTTTTTTTTTCTTCTTTCCTTTCTGACTTTTATATCACAGGGCCCCTCGATTTAAAGGCTGCCAACAGCAGGACAGTCAGGAGCTTCTTCATTATCTGCTGGATGCAGTGAGGATAGAAGAGACAAAGGTCAGGTTTCTCCATCATTTTCTTTTAATAAGAAGACCAGAACGGTCTGATTATATATTGACTTTAAAGCATGGTTGAGCATTAGATTGGTTGTTTTAAAACTCTCTTGTGTATTCTTTTCTGGTATAGGACTATTTTTTCACCCTTTCATAATTTTCTGGCCCTTTATTAGTTAGTACCCTTTAGCTGCAGAGAAGAAATGAATTCAAACTAGCTTAAGAAAAATTACTAATGTGTGACTACAAGTGTAGGGGGAGATAAGGTGAGGCTGAGGAAGAGACTGGAAGGTTGTCAACGATCTAGAACGTAATCTCTCTCTGAGGAAATGACGTGGTAGTGGGGTCTGACCTCCTCTGTTTACACAAAGGAGGAGAATCCAACTCCACACCAGCCCTGGGCTTCTTTATTGCCCCAACGCACAGGTCAGACAGACCTCCACCCTCCATCCTTCTTTAACCCTATTCTGACACCAACTATTTCTCCTACAGTACTCTACTCTGCTGGGTTTAATAATCCCTTGCAGTGACCACACAATACTTACTGCCAGTACTAACAGTTATGGGCATTTTTTAGGGAAGTTAACAGGTTACCACAGGCTGAGATCAGAAAGCATTAAAAATAGTCATTGGTCCACAGTAGCACCTGTTGGTAGGCAGCAGTCAAATCTTCCTCTGGTCCACATTCACACCATCCCTCTGTTTCCATAGCCCAAGAAGCCCTCTTGAGGCACATCCTCACCGTCCTGTGGACTCAGTAGTGTGGCTCCCTGCTTTGTTTTGCTGTGACTCCACGTTTACGCAGGGATCTTGCATGTGTTCCGTCAGTGGCTCTTTTCTCTTGGTGGACATAGGAATCTCTGTACTTGTTTCTGAGATGGCTTTCTTATACCCAGAGAAATGGCAAAACTGACCAATCTATGCGTTAGAGTCTTCTACACCCTATTTGCATGGTCCCACCAGTAACTGGCAGGAATTATTGTGGCTATGGATGGAAGAACCGTACTAACCAATTTCTCACTCACCACAATTTCCTCACTTCTCAGGCTCTGTAGAGTGTTTTTGTTTGCCATTCTGCAAATAACTTCTCTGTCTGAATGGTAGAGCACAACCACTATTGCTTCTGTGGCAGCACATTGCAAAAATCCGTTCCAACTGACTTAAGTTTGCATGTTACAGTTAGAATTCTCCCTTCAGAGCTGAACTGGCTGTGGATTTCAATTCTAAATTGCAGTGAGAGAGAGAAACTTTATTATCCTCTATTTTATAGGGTTTACACGGATCAGTACCAAATTTGGTTCAGTAACTTTGTTGTATATCTGAACACTTCAAAAAGTTCATGAAAAATGGTTAATTTTATTGTTAAGAATATACATAGCAACATTTACACCAATTCAGCAGTTTCTACATGTGACATTATGCCAGGGATTACAGGTGTGTGCCCATTCTCATCCTCCTTTTTCTGAGTGGTACCTCCCCCTTAACATAAAGGCACTGCTCCTAAGTTTCTCTCTGATGTATTCCTGTAGTAGCAAGATGAAGAAAGGTTGTATTGTCTTTGTGTTACGAATAGTAAATGTATCACGACACTCTTGAGTCTACAGATACTAGGGGGAAGTAAAAAAAAATGTATCGTTACAAAGTTCTTATTCTTAAAAAACAAATGTTCCAAAATTTGGTATTGTTTCTTGACCTATCTTCAATCTAGGTCTATAAACTTTGAAGCCAGTGTTGCCATCTCTAAACAATCCCAAAGTATTTGGTGCTGCTCAATTTACACCACACCAAAACGGGAGTGTTAGCGTTCTCAAGGGGCCCAAATCATGTTCCTTTTCAATGTTCTTTGAGTTTTAGGCACAAAAAGAAATGTGTATATCTGGGCCCTAGGGGGAAGTTCTCATAGGACAGCCCCAGCTATTCAAGAAGAATGAAGAGGTACGTTATCGTGATGGGAATAAATTCCACACTGCAACTCCCCTGGCCTTTTTGTCACCCACGCAGATTTCAGCTCATTAAATGTTTTTTATCATAAGCCTCCATGATCTTTGTGTCCTTTGAGAAGATCTCTCAAGATTCCTCTTTTGGAATCCTTGATACCAGTTGTTATCACCTTGTAAGCTGACTTCTCTGCTTTGAATGTAACTGGCCCAGAAGATCTTGCTGGAGGATGTGGTTTTGATTGGACCTTTTTTTGAAGGCATTCAGACAAAACCGAGACGGGTGTAATTCCAGTAGAACTTGTCTATAGCCTAGCCATCCACTGATCACCGAGACATGCTTAAATACATTTTGTGTTGGGAAACTCTGCATCAATGAACCCCAGTGGCAATGCTGTTTGACTTACCCTCATAGGAGTCCAGTACGGTTTTTGTAGTGGGTGGCTAGGATGATGTCTTTCCTTAGGGTTGGCAGGAATATGTTTGCTATATGTTCATCAGCTATTGTAACTGGAATGAAAAGTTAGCTCTGTGCAGTTTTTGCCTGTTGATATTACAAATAAAACAATGAACCCTGTCCCTGTCACCCCTCTCCCCACGTCATATCACTTGATGGCTAGCACTGTTGCAATTAAATGACTTTTTGTGTTCTGATGGTGCATTAGGATGCACAGTTCCTTAGAAACGCAGGCAGTGCGACAGGAAACATTGGCTTTGATTGCTCTTATCTTCCTCAATTTGAGGGCTTTCGATGGAGCGACAAAATTGAAATGTCAAGTCTGTGACTCTATTCAGCCTTGTAAGCAAGGACAGTCAGGGCGGTCAGGTACAGTGAGTACCCACTGAGCTGCATTGTGTGGCCTGGGAACGCCACAGCTGTCAGCCGGACTGCTATTGGAGCGTGTAGCAGCCATGTGTTTTTTGATTGAATAAAGGCTACAGTGCAATGCCTGAAACCAGAATCTTTTGGTAATGATTAAAAATCATTGGCCTAACTTTATTTGGCTTTACTAAGTCCATGTCTTATCAGTATAAACCTGAGGAATAGATATATTTTGCTGAATAGAATGCTAACCGGGTCACTCACACAGAAATGGTCAGTTTATTTATTTTTTTAATGTGGAAAAATAGGAAATCAAGTCTTATTACAGGAAGTTTTCAGTAAGAAATCTTTTCATTTACCAGATATGTGCCCCTTTGGATTTTTTCCCAAAGTTAATAATTCAAGTAGTTTACTGTTTTTGCTCGTTTTAGAGTGTGTTATCACAGGCTACATTTCAGAGTATACCAAAGGCCCTTTAAATCAGTCCTATTAGAAGTTGTGTCTGAATTTGTAAAAAGTTCAAATTGTAGAATTTAGAGTTAGTGATTTCTACATTGAGATACAGTTTCTTTTACTTGCTAGAGAACATATTTACACTTATATTAAATAATTACAGGTGAACAGTGATGTCTGGAATTTTTCATTTATCTATTAAATATTTCTCTTGTATGGAATTTATACCATAAATTGTTTTAGTTCTTTTTGCAGAGTGCAAATTTAGGAAATACCTGAAATAAATCATGTCTGACTTATTGAAACTGAGTTAGAGATTGTTTCAATATGTAATAGTTTCTGGGAAACATTGTGTGGACTGCCTTAGCATGTGCTTGTGTTTCAGGACCGTGTGGTATGGTATGAATTGCTGCATGCTTACTCTTACACGCTGTTTCGTAGATACTTAAGTGTTTTGAATCTTGCATTAACTCTCAGAGTACACTTGCAGAATACAGTTCTAGAAATGTAACATACTGATGAAAAGCCAAATAAATAAATGAAACTTGGAAAAAATAAAAAAATAAAAAAAAATAAATGAAACTTGGTTTCACAATTTTGGGGAAAATTAGAATCTTATCAAACTTCTCGTATATACACGAGGATGTATACAAATACGCATACAGCGTAAAGCATGGTAAAGAGAAATGCCATTTGCCACTAACACTGTTCCCCAACTCCAAATTAAAAAATGGAATATTGTAAGGACCTGAGAAGTATCCTCTTCCTTTCTAAACACTTCTTCTCTTTCCTTCATCATAGGCAACACTGTTTTGACTTTTACAGAAATAATTCCATTTTCAAGGAATAATTTTGAGAATTATCTGTAATGGCTTATGCAATAAGTTGTATAGCTTTGCAGAACTGGTTAGCAAGCAGAAACCTACAGCCATCAGTAGATGAAGGTTCACCCCCCCAAAAAGGAAGTCTTTGAAGAGTATTTGGAATCTGGTCTGGCTTTGCCTTCCCACAGAGTTTACAAGAGCTCTTTTTTGGGAAAGTCAGTGGGCAAGATCCTGAATGTTCAGTGGGCCAGGCTTGTGAAAGTCTGCTGCCGGCAGAGCTATGGGGGAAACCAGGTACTAGTTCTTTGTCCCAAAGTTTAGAGGGATAGTGGGCTACATAAACATTTTCTCATTTAGCTATTACACAGTCCTTGTTTCTTTCCGTGCCATTTTCTCTTTTAAAAAGCAAAACCAAAACCATTGTCATAGAGTGGGTTCCAACTCATAGTGACCCTGTATAGGGTTTCCTAAGCTGTAAATCTTTACTAGAGCACGTTATCGCCTTCATAGTCTTCTGCGGAGCAGCTAGTGGCTTTGAACCATCAACCTTGGTAACAGCCCAACACTTAACCAGCAGCACCATTTAGTTGCGATTATAAGCAGTATTTTCTTTCGTTATACCTTCTGAATGTTCTGGTTTTTATTTGTGGTGTGTGAAGGTTAATGATGTAATTATTTTCATATGCCCCAGTAATAAATCCTCTTGTTATTTGGAGTTTTCATATGGTTTGACTTTTTCAAGTAAACAATCATATCGTCTGCAAACAATTTTACCTTCTTTACAACTTTTGTACCTGTGGGACTTATTTTGCTATCCAGGTTTATTGACCAAAGCTGTAACGCAACACTGAATAATAGTAAAGACCTCATTGGTAGAGCTCTGACTTAACATTTTTTTAAAAAAAGAACTATCAGTATGATGGCTTATATGAATAGATTTCCTGATTTCCCCCCTCTTATTTTTTTAATGGTTGCTGTATTGATTGCTTGTGTCTCAAGTACAGTTTTTGCATAAGTGACATTGATATGTGTTGTTGCAAGCTTTGTCAGTTTGGGGTACTATTATGCTTTCTGAAAGTCATTTGGAAGTTTGTTTCCCTTTTCCTATGCTCTGCAACGTAGGTTTGGTACATTTCTCTGTGACATTGTTCGGGCTTGCCGCTGTCATGTAGTAGTATTTAACAGAATTCCTCTTCCCCTCTCCCATCAAAGGCGGTAGGTTTCTGTGTCTCTGGGGGTGAGAGAATTGTGCTTCCCTAGACCATTACCTGTTTCTCCCAAGATTTCAAGTTTAATGACCACAAGCATCCAACAAAGTAGTCACTTGTGATTATTTAAAATGTGTTGATTGTGTATGTGGGGGGGGGTTCCCTATTTTGTGGGTGTGATGTATATGCGTTCCCCCATTATCTTGCTTAGGATTAGTTAGTGGATTTATTCCTTCCTCCACACACACCCTCCAGAAATGCCTATGTATTTACTTTAGCCTCAATTATTTTTCCTTCTACTTTTCCCGTTTTGATGTTCTTTTTCTAAATTTTTATATTGGTGTTAATCCATTTATTTTTATCATTTTCAATTTATTTAAGTATGTAAGACTGAGTTCATTAGAAAAACATCTCAGATTTAGATATGTATTGGTTTTCTTGTTCTCTGGAAAATGTCTGCAAATTAGGTAAGTAGTTTCCTTTTGACCTTGCAGTTTTTTAAGAGCAGGATTGCTCATTTTCACATATGGAAGCATAGTTCTGAAAATAGTTTCGTGTATTAAAACCTGTGATTAAGATTTTCCTCAAAATACTAGTAATATCTCTTGAAGAATAATTAATAAACTCCCCCTTAATGTCACTGTAACAATGTGGATTAGAGAAAACTACACTCACTCACTAATTAAAAACTCAGTTAATATAAAAGATGATTATTTTTTAACTTAAATCTTTATTCTTGGAATATGTAATTCTGTTTCCCTCTGAAAGTTTTCTCTGAGGAAAGGACTTTTTTTTTCCATTAAAAAAAAAATTTTACAGACTAGGAGCTGAGATCCACATTGTACCTTACTGTTTAATTATGCAGGTGAAACCTCTGTTAATGAACCAGATTCTATTCAAATGAACACAAAGTCTTGCACTGAATGGTAACACTCTAGTGTAGATATTTTAGAAAATGCTCATTAACTCTGTTTTACAGAGGATACAAGCCAGCATTCTGAAAGCATTTAATAATCCAACTACTAAGACTGCTGATGATGAAACGAGAAAAAAAGTCAAAGGTATGTTGACTCTGTTAAGAACAACATATTAAATGTTTTTTGTTGGGAGAAAAGCTAGCTGAGCATATGTGGACGAATTCTCTCAAGTACTGGCCTTGAAAGAGAAGTTCCCTTCCTCCAGTGGCTGCAAAGTCCTCTAGTGGGACATGAAAACCGGGAGAGTTCTTAGGAGTAAAACTAGTATCAAACATTCAGATCACCCTGAAAGGCCTAGGGCCCAGAGAAGTTGCAAGCAGCAGCCTACCTTGAGAAGTTCCCTTCACTCTACTGAACCATTGTGGAGCTGATAAATTGCTTACATGCTTCAGCAACTCCTGCAAGGAAGTCACTGATTAAAGAACACACTAGAAGTCAAGAACATGTGCACGGTTGGCTTCCTCAGTGTTGACTCTTCTTCAGCCAAATGATGAGGTGAAAACAATGATTTTCTAATCAAAGCTGATTGTTTCTAATTACCCAGATTGAAAGGTGGCATTATATCTCGCGTCATCAGTGATGTACTGTGCCAGTGACGGCCGGAAGCATATATTCTGTTGAGAGGTTAACTCATGGTAGTCTGTTTTTAAGAGACATTTAAATGTTTTTTTTAATCATTTTATTAGGGGCTCATACAACTCATCACAATCCATTTAAATGTTTTTAAGAGACATTTAAGCATATTTTGTTCTTGTTTCTTAAATATTTTTGCCCTTTTACTATGTACCTATTACATGTGTATAATTTGTAAGCAAATATACACTGTGGTTGTGCATCCCAACCACAGTGTATATTTATATACACTGATGTTATAATTAAGAGTTCGGGATTTTTAATAATGTGAATGCCTGTGTAGTTTTGGTTCTTCTGTGTTGGGATAGTGCCATCTAGTGCACGTTTAGAGTAACAGGCCTGGTTTTCTTTCCAACTTTATAATCTTTCTTTCAATCCCTTGGGCAGTTTTTCTTAATGAAATGTCTTCATTTCCCATACTATTTATAAAAAAAATATGTATATCACTAATTGAGTTTTTAACTGCCCGTGTTGATCTCTCATCTTGTTATATTTCCTTGCTTTTTGCTGTTCCCACAGCCTTGACCCTGGCATCTGTGGCCCTATAGGCATACTCCCCTTCCTATTCCTCCATGTACTCTGGGTTACATGCAGTAGCCGAAAAGGTTTAATGGAAGCAGTTGAGATTTGTTATGAGTAGTTTTCATTGCCCTATTTATTTTGCCTTTTTAAATAACACTTCATTATTTCCTGGAGACTACTATAGCTGATAGTCATATTTTTTTCTTAAAAGTATAAAGGAAAAAATAAATTTATATAGTAATTTAATATGTTATTTAAATGCAATAAGGGACAACTGCCTTATTGCTACTGCTTTGGGGTAAACAAAGTAGCATAAAATATCGTTTGATTGATGGTTGATAATGGTTTTTTTTTGTGTTAAAAAGTATTGTTTTTACAGCATATGGAAAAGAAGGTGTGAAAATGAATTTCATAGATCGGATATTTATTGGTGAATTAACTAGCACGGTCATGTGTGAAGAATGTGCAAATGTAGGTACTTTAGAATTCACATAAACATGGAATAGATTACACACTGGTTGTAGTATGGGTTTTATTCACATGTGATTATCAGCAGTCATTTTATTTATCTGTGATAGGTGACTACATAATAGTTCTCGACAGTCTTTACAACACTATACTTTTCATTATTAAAAGTAAATATGATTTATCTATATATATTCAAGTAAATGTGTTTATACATATTTCTTTATTTTTACTCTCTCCAAACCTGTGAGGTGCATCTAGACCAGTGGTTCTCAACCTTCCCAATGCCGCGACCCTTTAATACAGTTCCTCATGTTCTGGTGACCCCCAACCATCAGAAATACGTATTTTCCAATTTTCTTAGGTGGCCACTGTGAAAGGGTCATTAACCCCCAAAGGGGTCGCAACCCACAGGTTGAGAACTGTTGATCTAGACTATCTTAACATGCACAAATGTACTAGCCACCTGTTAGGGTCAGATTGCGATAAGCTTGTGTGGAGAGAGATACTGTGTGTCCCGTGGCAGTGCGCTCAGCTGTCATTCTAATATAAGTGCAGTAATGAACTTCAGGGGATCTGCTCTCATTCGACTTGAAGTTTATATTTATGTGACTTGTTGGCTTTTTGGTTGCTGATGACTCATTTTTAAAATTAGTAATAATTTTCATTTTGAAAGTCTCCTGTACTTGAACAGCTTAAAAAGGCACATTTATATATTTATTTATTTTTTAACATTTATATATTTATAGGGTTGTTTGTTTGGTTTTTTTTGTAGGTTTTCAGTTTGCTTGGTAGTTAGTATTTCTGAAAGTGAAATGCTTTGAATATGAGCTTTAAACTTTTGTTAGATTTTGATGATGACAGAAAATTTCAATGTCCATTACTTTGTTCCAGATTAAGGAGTACTTTTCTATTCTCTGTAGATTTGTAGAAGCAGGGTTGTGTAAATATCTTCTGCTGGCCTGCCACTGAAGCACAAAATAGTATGCATTATTTAAATTTGTACAATATTCAAAATAGAAATTGATTTCTCCATCACAAGTCGGAGAGTATCTTTGAAAGCAGAATTATCTCCTCTGCAAAATAATTAAGTTCTCTTTTTTTGGTAGCTTTTTCTTAACATTTCATACCTTAGCCATGTTACTGTACTAAACAGACATGTGTTCAGTGTAAGGAATCGTGGCAGCATGGTGGGTTACCTGTTGGGCTGCTACGGAAAGGTCTGCCACTCGAAGCTCACAGCCACTTGGTGAAAGAGGAGACGTTCTCTTCTCCTTCCCACAGAGATTCATAGCCCTGGAAACCCAGAGGGGCTGTCCTACGGGGTCACCATTATTTGGAATGAACTCAGTGGCAGTTGGAATGAACTCAATGGTTTTTGAAGTTTCAGTATTTTTCATCAGTTTTACTAAATGTAGCTATTTGAAGTTACTTCAGGAATTAATCATTGATGATACTGTAAAATTAAATTTGGCTATACACATTGAAGTTTTTAAATAACTTAGTTTTATTAACATTATGGGCAGCTATACCCAATTAAATCACTATTCTTTCTAGGAGAATTTCAAACTTAAAACTGTTAAGTTGCCTGGGAAAGTAGATATCTTTTTTTTAAGAGTTGGCAAATGATATTGACTGTATTAGAATTCTAATTGTTTTGCTCTATCTACTTTCTTTTAAGATTTCCATGACGAGCGACTCTTTCATTGATATTTCACTTCCTATAATAGAAGAAAGGGTAAGGATAAGAAGACTAACACTGAGGTTTTATGAAGAACATTCATTGATTCATTCAGACATTTATTGACAACTAGCAGATATTGGGGGTTATTTATTTTATTTTTTTAAAAACTAAAATAGGAAAAGAAACATTTATTTTAAAGAAAAAAAATTCCAAAATTGTTTGCTAAAAAAACTGCATTTTTGTGATTACGTTTATTGGAAGGGTGGGATAAAAATTAAAATGTCATTTAGTTTAGAGTAGCAAACTAATTATTTCAGGAAAGGATGAATCAATCCTTGGTTACTTCTGAGCATCAAAGTTTACGTAGGTTTCTCTTCGGAACACAGCCTCCATTCAGGAGGCCCCTCTCCTCCCGCTGAACAGATTCTTGGTTTCAGCCAACTCTCAGCGGAGGGGCTGAACAACACCGTCACCCCGCACAAAGAGGATTGGGATATTCCCTTTCGTTGATTTATATATCTCGTCATACGTCTCTTCATCAGTTTCTATAGTAGTCACAGTTTCTTCCACATCTCCCAGTATCATACTTAAATGCTGATCATCAGCATGCAGTCCTCCTCGAAGCTCTCGGTCATTTCGCATTTTCACATCAATGCCTTCATCCAGGCTGAGCCCAATGAGATCCAGAGGCTCCTCTGCTGTGTTGGTAGTTTGTTGCTGGTCCACATCGTCCACCATGTTTCAAATTCTCGGGGGTTATTTTTTATGTATATAATAATTGAGTTTGTTTTAATATAGTGTGTTTATTAGGATTTGTCTGTGTGTGTAAAGTTTAGTGTTTACTCTCAAAGTGATACCCTATATTTTGTATTTTGAGAGTTAATATTCAAGAAATTGTATTTTTATATTTTAAGTGAACTAGAAATGTTAGGAAGTAGATGGTATCCAGAATTTATGTGCTAAAGCAGTTTTATGGTAAACATGTGACATCTTTATAGGTTTCAAAACATGTGCTCTTGGGAAGAATGAGTAAATCGAGAAGTTCACAGGAGCCAGATCGTGGTCAGAACAGTGGCACTATTACTGCAGGAAATACTCATCAGTCCAAAGCCATCAAGAAGCATTTTTCATCGAAAGATAAAGTAAGATTATGTACATTTGTTAGACAATTTTTAAAAATATATTTTTAATAACTTAAGGACATTTTCAACCATTTCACAGAAATAGAGACAATTATATAATAAACTCTCTGGGACCCGTTACTCAACTTTATAATGGTCAACCCACATTACATTTCAATCCCTTCCTTATCCTAGAATTTTTTGGAAATAAATCCCACATATTTATATCTTGAGAAGGTAAATAAAAAATCATAGTCAAGATACCATTATCACACCTAAAAACATGAATACCTTCCTGATAACACTAAGCATCAAACCATTATTTATAGTTCTGATGATGTCTCAGAAATACTTGTATTTTGGTTTTGCTTTTTAAAAGTTAATTTGTATATAGGATCTAAAAATGGTCTGTTGATTGTAATTGATTGCTGTGTTTCATATTTTTAATCTATAGATTTCCTACATTCCCACATTCAACATGTTGTTTTTGTAATTCATGTTGTTACTGCCTCTAAGTCTGATCCCTTGTGTCCCCTCTGAGATCGTTAGATTAGAGGCCTGGTTAGGTTCAGGCTGACTGATTAGTGGCATTCAAGTGCTGTAGGAAGTGATTCTTGACAGCTCTCTTTCCTTCCTGCTACTAGTCATTGGTGACCATCATCTAGAACTGTTACTGCACCAGGGGCCGGCCTGGCCGCTGAATCATTCCGTATAAAACTTAGTAAATCCCACTTCTTCCAGGACATGATTTTACTAATGTGGCAGATTAGCATATTACCAGACTTAGCATGCTGTGCTACAAGATTCCTGAGTGGCACAACCACAAAAAGGACAGAATGTTTACATTAAATACAAATACTCATATCTTTGTTTCATTAACTATTTAGGGCACTTAACTATTTCAACATATGCTTTATTGAGATGAAAGTACTGGTTTAATGACAGAAGGTTTTTACCTCTTGGGAAGGTTTTAGTGAAATAACTACTAAATCATACTACAGTTACCTCATTAAAAGCTGACCAAGTTTCATATGAGGAATGGTAGTGAGACATCAGCCAAGGAGAAAGAGAAAAATGAAACCCCAAATAGTAACACAAATTCTTACATAGAGAGTTAAAAGTCGGTAGGAGGGAGGAGGTCTGTTCTTAGAATATTTTTAAAAGTGAAGACATTAGCCAAAGGAAACAATGAATGGAAATCTTTTCTTAGAAAATGGCATGGGGACATGAACGCATTAGCAGAGTGACCTGACTGCTGGAACAATCATGAAACCTTGACTGGTCTCTTCCATAGTGCCCACTCATTCCTATCCCCTCCCAAGCTCCACTCCACACTGCAATCAGAGCATGGTTGCTAAAATCACCTGGTTCCCCCATTGCCACCAGTCACCCCTAGCTCTTTGTATAAGAAAATCGGTCCATTTTTGTGTGTATTCTCCTCCACTTCCTATACAAGGACTCTGGCTTTCCCAGGGAGACTTCCATTCTTTGAACTTGGGCCTTTGAACTCACTCTCCCCTTATCTAGGGACAGTTCCATTCTCCTGCACCCTCTGCTCAATTTATGCCAGTTCCCTTGACCCACTGACCTCCAGATTGGTTATTTTCCTTTGGCTTTTATTGGGCCTGCAATAATAATTGTACCCAAACTTTGAGTTCGTACTATATTGCAGCTTATTATTCTCAGTTCTTTACCTCAGTTATATGGAGTCAAGAGATAGATTACATAGCCTGGCTAAGATCATGCAGGTGGAAGGTGTCAGACACAGGCATTTAGACAATAGCCCCTGTGTGCCCTGTCACCACAGCACTTAGCCCCCATCCGTCTTGTTTCTATTGTGATGGATTGTAAGCTCTGAGAAACTCAGTTTACATCCTCCTTACTACCACGTCTCAGGTGGCTCATTTACTGCTTGCACATGGATGGTGCTTGGGGAGAGAGGTGTGATTAAACCTATGGTGCTACCAGTGATCATAGCTAATGCTTATGTTGCTTGTTATGTGCCAAATACCACTCTAGGCATGTATATGTGTAACCGCATTTAATTCCCAAGATAGCCAGTGTAAATGGTGCTTCTGTTTTATCGATGAAGAAACTGAGATGATGAGATGTGAAGTCATTTTCTCAATGGACCCCAGCTAGGTGGCTGTAGTGACTGAATTTGCATGTGGTGGTATAGTCCACAAATCATGCTCTTACTGCTATCCCCAGATCAGCCCTGGGGATGGTAAAGCATGTGTCATATAGTTCCCAAGATTCAGAAGATGAGGAGATCTAAAACATTGATGGAAAAATGGAATTAAAAGACAGTGGAATTTTCCCACAAACTTTTGAAGCCCCCTTCCTTCGTAAACTCAATCCTTTGCCTTGATTTATAATATCGGAAAATTAAAGAAAACACTTTAAAGAAAATATCGGAAAATTAAAGAAAATATCTTTCAGTAAAGATATCTGTTATAAATCCATTAAGACCAAAATGAGAATGGAAATGGGTAATCTTATACTTTTGGACTACTAACTGCAGGGTCTGTGATTCCAACCTCCCAGTCGCCCTGAGGGAGAAAGATGAGGCCGTCTGCTCCTGTCAAGATGTGTAGAGCCTCAGAACCCTTGGCTAGGGTTCTTATGAGTCAGACTGGACTCGATGGCAATGGGTTTTGCCTTTTGGTTTTGGAGGGTAAAGGGGTTAGCTAAAATAATCTGACTCAAAAGTTCCTATAAGTGACAGATTTTTCAAATCACTTGGGAACTATTTATTAAAACATGATCAAACCCAATTCCAGATCTCCTGAATCAGAAGTTCTATATGGTTATTGCCTTGCCTGTGTTTTTATACCAACAAAAACTTTCTTGGGGTTTAGGAAACTGTTGAATTAGAAGTTAGATGAGTTGGGTTCCAGATAAAGCTATTTTCATTTATCTGTTGGCTGATTAAGAGCCCTAGCGGCATAGTGGTACCTAGTTGAGCTGCTACTGCAAGGTCAGTAGTTGGAAACCACCAGTGCTCCTTGGGAGAAGGGGCTTTCTACTCCCATGAGGAATTAGCCTGGGAAATGCACAATGGCAGCTCTACCCTGTCCAGTAGGGGCAATGTGTGTTCGTACTGACTTCGATGGCAGTGAGTTTGGTTTGGGTTTGGTTATTGGCTAATTGATCTTAGGCAAATTACTTACAATTTTTAGGTCCAAATTTTTCCACTTGACCCATATTACATGCATAATAGGAATTTGTAAAGAACAAAGTTGATATGTAAAGTCAGTCCCAGAAAGGTTATTAAAAAGTTCATAGGATATTATTATAAACTTCATTTATTTTTCATATATGCTCTAGTAGACTAAATAAATATGATGCAAATGAATGTCTAGTTTTCAGCCAGGCGTTTCAGAATACTGTGAAACACAAGAACCTAGTGTGTGAAGACTAAAAAACGAGACACAGATACTTTTTAGAATTCATCCCATTTCTTCCCTCCCTCCCCAGAACTGAAAGGGAACAGCTCTCATTATTGTATGTGATCCATAACATCTGTCCTCTGTCTCCTGTCTTCATTCTGAAGCTAAACTGTAGGGAAAGAAAGGGAAAGTTTAAGGTGGGCCTGTAGTGGGGGCGGGGGAGGATTTCACAAGTTTAAAATAATTGATTCAATCAGCTGGTGAGTATCACCAAATTTAGCTGGTTTTATCTCTGTCTTTTCACAAGAAGCAGATTTACACCATTTCATCTGATCAAAAAAGCAGTAGTTAATAGACCAAAGGAAAGCTCCATGCAAATAACACTTACTTTCAGATCTATAGCAATTGTAATGTGTCTTAATACAGATGCAATGTCCTTATGTTAGTTTTAATTTGTTTTCAAGAACTATTATTGTAGTCTAGGTAGACTACAGAAGATGGATTTTAGGGGTAGTGAGAAATAGTATCTATTTAATATTTGTGGGAAGTCTAAAATAGACTTACTGGAATTTATTTTTTTTAATTTAAATCATTTTATTGGGGGCGCATACAGGTTGGAATTTATTTTCAGTAAGGTCATAAGATTCTTTTCTCTGAAACTACTGTCAACTTACAGGATCAACCAACTCGTGACAGAAAACATAGAAGAAAGTTAGCATCCGGAGAAGAGAAAACTGCTGTTCTGTGTCCCAGGAAGGAAAACCGTGAGAGTAATGGGGATTCTCCCAAGTCTCTTGCAAGCCGCAGGAAGCCGGCTTCCGCGGCGCTGAGTGAAAGCCCCCCTGAGGACGACGACGGCAGTGAAAAGGAAGCCAGCCACTCGGAGAGTAGTGTGGATGCCGACAGTGAGGCCTCGGGGTCGGATTGTGCCGCACAGCAGGCTGCGGCGCATCCATCCAGGCACGTGTCCTGTGCGCGCACCGGTGGACTCCCCCACCGTCCATCAGCAAGTGACTTGCCCTGCCCCAAGGAAATGGACAGTGGTGATGAAGAAGTGGCTGAAGCGATTTCTGACCTTCACTTGAGCAGCAGTGTAATCGGAGAGCGAGATCTTGACAGAGAAAATCAGCCAGTAAATGTTCCAAATCATTTATGTTTTTCAGAGCAGAAGCTAAGGGTGTCTGACAACCCCCAAAATGCTTTTCAGACCCTCTCTCAGAGCTATGTAACTACTCCTAAAGAATGTTCAGTGCAGTCCTGTCTTTACCAGTTTACATCTATGGAGTTACTCATGGGGAACAACAAGCTTCTCTGCCTGAATTGTACAAAAAAGCAACAGCAACACCAAAAGGAAACCAGTTCTGCAGGTAAATAGCGCATTATTCGTTTAGTAACTGGTGGGTTATCTGATAGCAAGGGAATCCTGGTGGTTTGGTGGATTATGCGAGGTTGTTAACCACAAAGTCAGCAGTTCGAAACCACGAGCTGCTCCAGGGGAGAAATATGAGACTTTCTACTCCCCAGTTCCAGCTTTGAAAATCCACAGGGGCAGTTCTAGCCAGTCTTACAGGGTCACTCAATTCAGTGACAATGCTTTTTTGTTTTGTTGTTGTTTTTTCTTCTGATAGCAAAGATCCTAAAGCAAGGGATTTCAGAATCTGTCTCCAGACCAAGACTCGGGAACAGGGATTTTATTCATAGTGTATCTCTGAATTTAAGACATCAACTGGGCAGAGTAGATTTGCAGTCGATTATTGTTGGAATAAATTGAGGACACTAAATCCACATAATCTTATTTAGAAGCCTAGCTGTCTGAAATCTATCCAGAAGTAATAGCCCTAAAATTTATATTCCTATCACTGGTGAGATTAATGTGCTTGATAAAGAATCCCATCAATCTCTTATAAATTCATAACACAAATTATAAATTTGAACATTTCAAATAATTGTGCAATGTGAAGCCAGCAGCCTAATAGCTGTAGTTAAACATAGTAAAACAAAAATTGGGAGGTAAGAAATTTCCATTGTATCTCTAAATCAAAACCCAAAGCCACTACCTGCAAGCAGATTTCTACTCACAGCAACGTTCAGTAGGGTTTCCCAAACTAAAACTTTACAGGAACAGCCAGTCTCATCCTTCTTTCTCATCATGAATTGTGAGGTTGACTTCTGACTTTGCAATTAGTGGTCCAATACCTCACCCACAGCACAGTGCTGCCTTGATTAAAAGGAGAGACTGCTCTGGTCTTACTGACTAGTCCTTAGAGAAATAGCGCCTATGTGATTTGCACTTGGCTAATAAAAAATTGGCAGTTCAAACCCAACCAGCAGCATGATGGAAGGAAGGCCCAGTAATCAAGATTACAGCCACGAAAACCAGAGCTCTGGAACTCAATTCTACTCTAACGCATGGGGTTCCCATGTGCTGGAATCAGCTCCTTGACCTCAGGGCAGTTTTTAATTAGGGAAGTGTTTAGATGGGAGAAGGAAGAAATACTGGTTGACATTAATCCAAGGTAAATACACCATTGGCCGCATTCAAATCCTGTACTAAGTCCTTTCCAGCAGGAGCCCTAGAGTGTAATGGTGACTCACTGGGCCACTAACCACATGGTCAGCAGGTTAAAAGCACCAGCTGCTCCAAGGAAAAGAAAGGATGCCTTCTCCTCCCACAGTTGTAGGCTCGGAAACCCACAGGGGCAGTTCTATAGGGTTGCCCAACCCTGCCCTATAGGGTTGCTGTGGGTTGGAATGACTCTCTTCCTGGGCCACCATGATTTCCCATAGTGCAAGTACTTAGCATATATACTCGAGTATAAGCTGACCCGATTATCAGCTGAGGCACATAATTTTACCACAAAAACTGCATTAAAAATGTGCTGGAAAACTTGGCTTATACACGAGTATGTATGGTAACCCAATTTGTTTATTGGGATTGCTGGTAATCTTTACCTGAAAGGTATTTACAAAATTTACTGATTAGCCCCAAAAATTTTGTTGCAAGTGTCACCTGTCCTATTTGTCTTTATAAGTATGTGCCTTTAAAAAAATCTTCCTTAACTTGAGTTGATTTTCATAAAGCAGATGGGTGCCCCATAATCAGAATCCAGTTTCCTTTTTAGGCCTTTTCAAAATGTGATACGATACCTATAAGGTAGATAATATCTAATTTTGGAGTTTTACAAAAAAACATGTTATGTTTCATGCAGAAACAAAAGCAGAGGGGGTTTATACTAATGCCAGGAAGCAATTGCTCATTTCTGCTGTTCCAGCTGTCTTAATCCTCCATCTGAAAAGGTTCCATCAGGTAAGAGCCCTTGTTTTCGTTGTTAGTGTGTGTTCTGCAGAGTCCTTAGTCCGTGGAATAGTGTAAGTATTCAACTGTAATCTATTGAATGTAAACATTTGTGGGGGTTACTGGTTTTCCAGCCATCATAGTTCATAAGACTTTTCTAATTAAAAGTGCTCAATTCTCAATAGTTGAAGATTTTGGAAAGAGGAACATTCCAATCTCATGCCTCAATGAAGTGATTTTAAAAATCTGAATAAGTAATTTTAAAGTTCCTCAGGAAAAGTGAATAAGTGAAAATAGTGAAATATTGTTGAAAAAGGAATCATTTTTT